CTTCCCGACAGTTGAACTCCCTTCCTCTTACTGACTTCCCTGATAAGTATAATCTTCAAAAGTTTAAATGCAACATCAATTGTTATCTTCTGATGACTTGATCCCTGTTCTTTTTATCCTTTCGTCAATCCCTTTATACCCGGTATTTTCTCTTACTTTCACTATCTGTAACCCCCTACTTATTAGTGGTGCTCCCACCTTGTTTGGGGTGAATTTCTTAATAAATAAAAAGATGAAAAGAAATGTGATTTCTTCATGTGTATGTGTGAGAAAGTGAGGAGGAAAGTCTAAGTGTCACATAGCTTGGTGAGTAAGAGAATTTCTTTTATGCCAAGTATTATGAACTGTTGCTGTCTGTCTCTTTACTGGTTTGTCCATCTAGAAACTTTGCTTAAATAACCTGCAAAGGAATCACAAAGCATATGTTTTTTTTATTGTTGGTGGGAACATAACCCTTTGGTTGAAAAATTTTAAATACTTATTTTCAAGGGATTAATTTATTAACCAAAAGGAAGCAAGAATCCTCTGACTCAGAAACCATTTTTTTGTCATTTGACTGTCTTGATGTTTATTTCTGTCTTCACTCCACACAAGTAAGAGTTAATTCGTCAACTTATTAAAGCTGTGATTGATGTCAATGGTGGACCAACTGTGTATTAAATAACAAAACTTCAATTTAACAAAGTGTCTGCATTATTTTGTTCAACCCAGATTTTATATATATATATATATATATATACACACACACACATACACATGCTCTGTGTTTCATTCACAGGGTTGCATTCACAAATCCTAGACCTACTTTTATTTAAGTGTATTTATTCAAGAATACTTCTTTTCTCCAACCCTTACAACTTAAGTTTTACAAAATTAGAAACTGTTTTGCTCCACTGATTTGCTATTTATTTCTGGACAAACTTTAGACAAACAAAACTGACTTCAATTATGAAATAGTAATATATTCACCCATTTTCTTTTGTTCCCTTTTCTAACTTTTTTTGTTAGTTTTGCTTTTAAAAAAAATATAGCCATTATATTAACCTGCTTTGAAATTCTAGTAATACTTAGAATGCAAAACTGCTTGTTTTGCACTGTAGCATGAAAATGGAATATTTTAGTTTTCTTTACTTATTACAATTTATTCATTTTTACAGAATTACAGAATTTTATTTTCCACATTTATTCAATGTTTTAAAATTTTATTTCTAAGCAGTTTATCATCCATTTCATCTGATGTTTCACATTTTTTTAGAACAAAATGATATTAAAAAAAATTTATTAGCCAGTTTCATTTTTTCTTTTTCAGTTCTTTCTCAGAAATTATTCTTCCATTCTTTTTTTTCTGTTGCTTTCGTGATTTTTATAAAATCTTTTTTTAATTTTGTTTTTAAATTTTGCCTTTGTTTTTCTTTTTTTCTCATTTTTTTTTTATTTTTCCTTTTTATTTTCCTCTGTCTCTGTGCTTTTTTTTATTTTTCTGTCTTCTGTCTCTTTTTCCTTTTCTTTCTTCTCTTCTCGGTCTTCTGTCTTCCTTTTCTTTTTCCTTTTTCTGTCTCGTGCTTTTTTTCCTTCCTTCCTTTTTCTTTTGTCTTTCTTCCTTTTTTCCTTCTTTTTTCTTTTTTTTTCTTTTTTTCTGTCTCGTTCCTTTTATATTTCCTTCTTTCTGTCTCTTGCTTTATTTATATTTTTCCTTATTTTCTGTCTATTTTATTTTTTATAATATATATACATTTTTTTTCTTAAAGACGATTGTGCAGAAGTTTTTTTTTTTTCCAACAGTCTCGTGTTTATTCAATGTTTTAAAAATTTAATTTCTTACAGAGGGATTCTGTCTCGCTTTATCATTTCCCATTTCATTTGAATTTTCTGTCATTATAATAGACAAGGTTTGAAGAAATTCCACGTTACATCTGCTGTCCCTTTTGATGATAACAGTCTCACAGATACCTAGCAACACGATTCCAACATTTCCTCGTGACGATCTTCCTTTTCTCGTCCACTTTTTTCTGTCTACTTCTCATTCCTTTCTTTTCGTTCTTTCCTTTCTTCCTTTTTCCTTCTTTCTGTCTCGTGCTTCTCTTCCTTTTCTTTTTCCTTCTTTCTGTCTCGTGCTTCTCTTCCTTTTCTTTTTCCTTTTTTCTGTTAAGTGTTTCTTTTTTTTCTCATCACTTCATTTCTTTCTCTCACTCAAGCTCAATGATCAGATTCAAAATCATATCTCATTTGGGGGTGACAACATCTGAGAATATGGGATTTACTTCATATAAATAGAATTATTATCTACATAATACAAAACAAAGATAAAAATATCTCCCTCTCCATCCACAAAAAACACTGAAATCATTTTTATAATTTTGCATTTTACCAGGAAAAACTTTTTGGGTATTTCAAGAAAAAGAAAAGCCAAAGATACAAACAATAAACTGGAGTTCTCAGAATCAAGCAAGTACAGAAATTTAACTATCTGCAAAATGTTCCAACAGATGATGTAAAATATGAGAAAGAAATCAAAGGTGCCTTCCAAAAGCTACACTAAGTATTAAGAAACAGGAAAATTTTGTGAGCAGCAAAGAAAATAGTGCTGAACTGCTATGTAATATTAATCCTTTTCTATGACAGTGAATGTTGGACATTTTCTTTACAGATGAAAAGGAGACTTGAGGCAACAGAGATGTAGTTCCATAAAACGATGCTGAGAATACAATGAACAGAATATGTAATCAATGGGGAAGTTGTAATGAGAACAAAAAGGACATTTAGAATAAAAAAGAAAGTCATAATTTCTGGGAGATTTAATGAAGAAAGAGGGTTTAAAGAATTTGGTACTCACAGGACATATTGAAGGGCAAAGGGAAAATGGAGTAACCTACCTAACTGGCATATGGAAATGTATGTTAGAACAGGGACTGAAAGAGATAGTAAGAGGGAAAATGTTACTTATAGTTACAATGGATAATAAGGAAGGAACACAACATATAAAAGAAAATGCTCTAGGAAAGCAATGTTAAGGAATTTCTTAGATTGGTGCCACATGTAAAGCGAACCAATTTCTCTTCTGCATTATTTCTAAAGTATAAAAGAAGAATAAATAAAAATGCAAAATGTGCGAACATACAAGGTGTTTTAAGTATCTAGTTAATTAGTAGAAGAAACTTACAGTAAAAACAGTTTTTTGTTTTTTTTATTCCCTATTTTTCCTATTTTTCCTTGGGTACCGATTTGTTCTACTGCAAGTTGAGCTATCCAAGCGAGTACCACCAGTTATATAATTTTAGCTCTAGGTTGCCCTATTGAGCACTTTATAAAGTCAACCATCATGGAACAGAGCCAGTATTACACTGACGCTCCATTTAGGTGAAACCTAGGTAGATTTGCCTGCCTCTTTAGGATTATCTTAGGTTTTGCTCTACTTTGTGTATTGAGCACTTTATGTAGTTGTCTTTTTACTCATTTTGGAAGTTTTTTTTCTTGTACTTGGAGTTTGGACACTGGACAATTGTTTTTGCCTTGGTTTAATGTTATTGGTTCTTTCTTTTTTTATTCCCCATTTTTCCTTGGATACCAATTTGTTCTACAGCAAGTTGAGCTATCCAAGGTTTTTCCAAGCGAGTACCACCATTTATATAAGTGAACATTGAAGTCAACACTTAGAGGCAACAAGGCTGCTTCATGCTAGATGTAATCGGCAGCCTGACAATTACGTCTAGCATGAAACAGCCTGTCACCTCTGAGTGTTGACTTTAATGTTCACTTTTATATTTGTATATACATCTGCCTATCTCTGATATTGAGCACTTTATTCCATAAATATAGCATACCTTCAAACTTTATATATATATATATATATATATATATATATATATATAAATTTTTTATATGTATATAACAAATTTAGGGTAAAACCATGACAAAATGGGAAATGTTTATCAGCTCATAAAATATTTTAAAGTAGAAAAGTGATTCTTCCTGACAAAGCCAACAAGTAAAAATATAATGTTCTACCAATCAACTTTATCACAGCTACAACTGAAAAATATTATCTAAACTCAACATAAATTTTGTTAAAACTACCTTTAAATCAGTAAATGACTTAATTAATACAAACAAAATAAGCTAAACTTGAAGGGGGAATTTACTATATCACATTTACTAATTGCCACAAGGAATACATAGGAGAAAACATGAGGAATTTAAATAAAAGATTATGAGAACACAAAAGGAATCTTTTAAAAAAACAACACACTAAATGCATTAGTTGCTCATCATGGAGAGACTTATCATAATTCTGATTTAAAAAATGCTAATTTAATTAAAAGAGAAGGTAAATTTACTAAGAAAATGTTTAGAAAGTGTTTTAATGTCTTGATGCTTTCCACCTCAAAATTCAAGTGCAGTTTCTTGCAACTAAATAGGAGAAGGCCGATAACAATTGTAGAAAACCTGACAAAATCTTTGGGAAGTTCAAGCTATCATGATAAAGGTATGTATTTATTTTTACTTAATCTTAATTTAATATATTTTGCTACAAGTTATTACAAATGGAAGATTATTTGAGGCATGAAACTGACAGTCACTTGGCAGTGTTGATTCCTATGTCTATATCTACAAACACTGTCTATATCTAGCTTTAATATTGGGAACTCTTCTGCCATAAATATAGCAAAATTTATATATATCTGTATTCCTTTGGATCTTGTTGGTACGATCAAGAGATGTGGGGTATGTGATCTGGGCAGGGTACTCCCTTCTTATATCATCACCCAGGCCTGGACCCTGTAAAATCACACCAGTCTCATCACCAAAGGACAGAAAAGGAGCCCAATCTCTGTGATAGCACATAGAGAGGCTGCTCTGATCAGCAGTTTCATAATATCAAGGTATTTGTAGTGTCAGGCTGCACATGGGTTAGTTTCCCTGAATGTAGTTCTGGTGGGTAACCTTGAGGCTACATTATGCTTTAGACATATTCACATTTTGGCCAGTTTGTTCCCTCAAACTTTCTAAAAGAAATGTAAGGAAGCCGGTAAGCAAAATATCACCTTGTTCCCTCAGCCTTTCTAAAAGAAATCTAAGGAAGCCGGTAAGCAAAATATCACCTTGTTCCATCAACCTTTCTAAAAGAAATGTAAGGAAGCTGGTAAGCAAAATATCACCTTGTCCACTCAACCTTTCTAAAAGAAATGTAAGGAAGCTGGTAAGCAAAATATCACCTTGTCCACTCAACCTTTCTAAAAAAAATATAAGGAAGCCGGTTAGCAAAATATCACCTTGTTCCCTCAGCCTTTCTAAAAGAAATATAAGGAAGCCGGTAAGCAAAATATCACCTTGTTCCCTCAACCTTTCTAAAAGAAATGTGAGGAAGCCGGTAAGCAAAATATCACCTTGTTCCCTCAACCTTTCTAAAAGAAATGTAAGGAAGCTGGTAAGCAAAATATCACCTTGTTCCCTCAGCCTTTCTAAAAGAAATATAAGAAAGCCGGTAAGCAAAATATCACCTTGTTCCCTCAACCTTTCTAAAAGAAATGTAAGGAAGCCAGTAAGCAAAATATCACCTTGTTCCCTCAACCTTTCTAAAAGAAATGTGAGGAAGCCGGTAAGCAAAATATCACCTTGTTCCCTCAACCTTTCTAAAAGAAATGTAAGGAAGCCGGTAAGCAAAATATCATCTTGTTCCCTCAGCCTTTCTAAAAGAAATGTAAGAAAAGCGGTAAGCAAAATATCACCTTGTACCCTCTGCCTTTCTAAAAGAAATATAAGAAGGGCAGTCAGCAAAATATCACCTTGTTCCCTCAACCTTTTTTTCTCCAATATTTGTGCTATCCATTCTAATTTCTGCAGTATAGAATCTTTTCTATTGAAACTGTCTCCAGATATCTTCACACTTTGCAAAACTAATTTAAATTCTTCTATTGCTACCAATGAATTCTTTCTTCCAGGCTATCTTCCTCTTTGCCAAAAAGAAACTCACATACATATGCATGGCCTCAATGTTTATATCCAGGAAAATCTTCCAGTGGCAAGGAAATTCTCCCTCGAGTCCCCACATGATTCTTTCGTGTGCTTTCATTATTGTACTCTGTTAGCTTTCTCTTTCTACTTTATTACTCTCCTCCTTTTCAGGACTGTAAAATATTAGACAAAAATTCTGACAGTATAGAAATTTCTCTCTCTCTCTCTCTCTCTCTCTCTCCCCACTCATCTGCAAACATTTTTGTGTTTGGTGATTTTAATGCTGATTACATCAAGTGGCTTAAGCATTCTAATGTTTCAGATGTTGATGGTATTCAGACTTTCAATTTTTCTGTTGCTCTGTCTCTCATTCAAATTGTGGATTTCTTTACTCGTTTCCCTAATAAATTTGATGAACTTGTGTATTTACTTGATTTGTTCATTATCTCCTCCCATACTTCTTGTCAGCAAATCAGATCATGGTGTAGTGTCTGTTGACATTTCTTCTAAATCATCTATTAGACAGGAACCTCCCATTTGCAAGATTTCTTTCAGGTTGATTGGGATTCATTTTGTGATTTTCTTCAAGATGCCCCGTGGATTGATGTTCTTAACCTTCTTATTGGAAATTGTGCCACAGAGGTTTCTTCTTGGGTTAAAGTTGGCATTGATGCTTTTGTACCTTTTTGGAAATACCAGGTGAAACCACAATCTTCTCCATGGCTTTCCACCAGCCTGCTCAACTGACATAGCCCTCAGGAATAAATTTTTTCAGGTATATCAACATGAAAATTCTGATCACAATAGATGCCTGATTATGTCTGTAAATAATAAGTGTAAACATTTCCTCAAAAGTATTTGTTTGCTGATAGAATGAGTCATCTTATGACCTCTAACAACTTTGGCTCTCATGATTACTGGCGTCTCTCTAAACGTATGTTAAATAAGAGTAAGTAAATCCCACCACTCTTCACTCAATTTAAAGTGTTAACATTTTCAGCTGATAAAGTAAAATGTTTTGCTCATAAGTTCTCTTCACATTCTATTCTTGACTCATCTGGGATATCTTTTCTTGAATTTTCACTTAGAACAGAGTCTCTGTTGAGTGATATACATATAACTCCTTTCTTGGTTTCTGCTCTCATCTTTAAAGTGGATCCCCCCACAAAGTATGTGAACTTGACAGAACCTCCACAACAGTCCTTAAGAAATGTGCTCTTGAACCGGTTCCTGTTCTCTCTAAACTTTAAAATAGATTCCTTTCTGTTTTCTGCTTCTTGGAAATCCTCTTCTGTAATAAGAGCTTTTAAGAACTCATGTGAACTATCTGATCCTTCTAACTACTGGCCTTTTAGCCTTCTAGCTTTTTTTTTGGCAAAGTACTAGAAGCCTTAATCAACTCTGAACTGGTTAATCACCTCATGTCACACAATCTTCTTTCAGATAAGCAATATAGCTTTCACTTCTCTAGGTCAACTTATAATGTGTTAACATTTATTGCTGAAAGAGTCTATCACACTTTAGCTATTAGCAGTGGATATAGAGAAGCAAAAGCCATATTACTTATTTGAAAGAAGTGGAGATGCTTAAACTTTTCAGGAGGTAGAAGGTTAATAGGCCAATAGGTAGGAGGTTCAGACGGTCACCTGAGTTCTTAAATGCTGGTACTACAGAAGAGGATTTCCAATAAGCAGGAAAGTAAGAAGTAGCATTTATTTTAGTGTTTAGAGAGAACAGGAGCCAGTTCAAGAGCACATTTTATAACATATATGCCATCATTACCAGAGTGAAAAAAATTGGATGCCTGCAGAGGGATTGGTGGGAGATATTAATAAAGAGAGAGGCACTTTTCCAAAAAAAAAAAGAAATTGTGGCAAGCCCTGATCAACCACATCTTGAAAGGACACATCATATAAAAGAAAATCTTGTCAAGGTTGACAAGGAGTGTCTCATCTTATTTTGGAACTGTTTAGAAAGAAAATACTCTTTTTAGTAATGTAGCATTTTGACATATCTATTAATGTGAAAGAGTTCAGGTCAAAATAAATTTAAGAAGCTTTAGCTATTATTTAACTTCAGTTACCTGTGTGTTGTCAATACTCTTAACTGTTAAATTGTCTACCTCTCTTAGCTTCATTTAGTACATACACTATTGGCCAAATGTTTGGCACCACCCAGCGGACCAGAAAGAATTGCCTGAAAATTAAATGCTGCATGTTAATCTTTTTAATTAATATACTAGCTCATTTTGGATCTGTAACGAGAGAAAAATCACCTACCTTGAAAAAGAGTTTGTTTTGTGCATGGTCTGCTGAAGGAAAATTAAAGAAAATAGCCAATAAAAAACTGCTACTTTATGTATCAGAGAAATTATTCTAATGTTCTTTCCTCCTTGAATGGCGTGGCCAATCAGAAAATTATTCGGTGATTAAAGGCCGTTGATTTTTTGCTTACTGGGATTAGAATGATTTTGAGCTTGGTGAGTGAAAGTGCATTTCTGCTGTTGTGAGGGGGGGAGGTTGGATATCTGACCCTGTTTTTGTTACTGCATTGCCTGCTGGACTGTTTACAATAGATTTGCAATTGAACTTCGTGTTGGCACACACAATTTTCTTTTGTTTCTACTGACCACATTGGTTGATACCCAAACAAGATCAAAGGGATTTTCTCTTCCTGAAGGACTTTATCATACATTTAATAATAATAATAATAATGAAATTAACCAATTTACAGCATGAAGTTTCCTTTAAATTTTACTTCTTGTATAATCTACTTTGCTGGCTAATGATAATCTCAGGGCTAGCAAATTTTAAATTGTATGTAACCCCTCTCCAAAAAATTGGATGTCATGCACTAAAACAATTTTAGCATCCTAACTTACTAGGTGTTCATTAAAGCAAAGAAGGCATGAAACTAATTATTAAATCCAGAGGTTGAGTACTTAATAGTAAACCCAATTGGTACAATAAAGTAAAACTGGCAGCTGATATAAAAAGAAGAAATGGCTTGTTAATTTTAATGCCTCCAAACGAGAAATGCTGTTTTTTTTAGACATCTTTGAGAACCATTTTTGCCTTCTCTCAGTATGGCTGATGCTAACACATGAAAGGGTCACTCGTGCTTTCTTGGTTTCATGTTTTTCACTGACGTGAAGTAGAATGATTATATTGAATCAATTGCTAAGTCAGCTGCTAGGAAAGTTGGTTAACTGTCATACCAGTTATTTCGGTCATCAAAATTCATCTGGCATGTTTAAAAATCTACTATTCATCCACACATTGAATATTGCTGCCACATCCTGTCTGACAATCCTGTTATATATTTAAAGATTCTTGAAAAAAAATCCAAAGAAGGGTCTGTGATGTTATTGGTCCAGACACAGCATCTCAACTTCAGTCACTTTTCCACTGCCCTAATGGGGATTCTCTGTGTCTTTTCTATAAATATTTTCATGGTAATTGTTTTAACAAGCTTTCTTACCTTGACCATATGAATTTAAGCATAGTTAGGTCTCATCAATTTACTGTTGAAAAAGCAAGCTGTAATCATAAGTTCTATTCTAATAGTTTCTACTCTTGCACTTCTTTGCTGTGGAATGCTCTGCTTCTTGCTTTCCTGCCAACCACAATCATCAAAAATTCACTTGTAATGTCAATCACCATTTTCTGTCTTTTTTAATCCTGTTTTTTCATTGCCCTTTCTCCTTAGTAATGATTTCTCTTTTTTTTTTTTCACTCTCAGTAACATTATTGTCTTGCTTGGGTTGAAATGATTTAAAAAAAAAAAAAAAAAAAAATTAATTTACTGTTGAAATAGCTAGATGTAACTATAAGTTCTGTTCTAATAGTGTTTTTCTCTCTTGTCTGTGGAATATTTAAAAATCAACATAGATAAAAAACAAACTCAGTAAGAAACTGAAATAAAGTTGGCATGTCTATATGTTTAGAAACATCAGATTTCTGAAATTTAGAATTTAAATTAAAGCATTCCTGCATCCAGAAAATATATGTAAAGCTAAACTTCTTGCTTGAATCAAAAGAGAGGGAGTGATGTAGAAAAACAATTATTTTTTATTATTAATAGGCATCTGTTTATCATGCAACATAATGGTAGTGCTTTGTTACATCAAAATTTTGTTTATAATACTGGGGTGATCTCTCCAGGATACACACCTGAGCGATGCTAGTAGTGTGCTACCCAGACCATATGGCCTCCCCATCTTGGCCATATCGACAAGATACAAAGGAATCCAAGGCATTATATTTGGGGCTCATTTAGCTGCAAAAATTGCTAGAGCTTTGTAAGTGTTGATAGGCAAACACTCAACCTCGAATTTTCTGTTTGGATTTACTTCCACATCCTTTTCCATGGTTGGATACGATGGTTATGTAATGTTTTCCTTCCCTTAATGGACGGTCTTCCCAAGATGATGAACTACATCTATCTGAAGTAGCTAGTCATCAATTAGCATCAGTACTCCTTTGCCCCTTATCTGCGTTTGAAGCTGGACTTGTCATCAGAGGCTATTTAAGATGTATGTCATGGGAACATATTCTAGAAAGTGGGAAACTATAACCACTTATAACACCAGCTATGACAGCCTTTGAAATATATGTAATGTAAATATATAAATATTATATACATCACATGTTTAAGAAACTCACCCAAAATTAACATCTTTTTTTTTTCAAATATATAATGTTAGATAAACAAAATCACTGTTAAAGCAAGACAAATTATAAAAAAGTCATAAAAAAAGATTGAAAAGTTTGATAACTGTGGAAAAAGATAG